CACATTCAATGCAGTCTTTTTCACAAAGGTGGTGCTTACCTAAGCAAAGATTATTTATCACAGATATAAAGCAAATAAAAGATGAAAAAGACAAATTATTATTGTGATATCACATTACTTTTCCCTCAACAGCACACAGACTGTGTTTGTTTTCTTCGCAACATCAGATTAGAATATGCTGTGGACCAGATTTCATGCTGATAGTCAAAATGCTTGCTCTGTGTGACGTCCAATTACTCTCCAGTCCATACTGATGCAACCACAACAATCTGCTTCCACAAGCTGGAGGACAAAGGAGCTGCATCATCACTTCATACCTGCAGTTCCTTTTTTTAGTGACTGACAGCAGAGTTCTCACAATAAACAGTGATGGATGCACTCTGAACACTTTGGGCCAGGAGAAACCCACACATAATGCAACACTTTCAATTACACCTGAGAGACGCCATGACAGCCTATCCTTGTGTGAGTCCCTCTCAGTCTCCTGGGGCCAATGCACATGCATTGTGCTCAGACAGCAACCAGAAATCTGAAAAAAAATTGTCTGGAGCAATCCCTTGTTAGACTTCAGGGTATCATGTAGGAGCATTTTTAGCTGACACCCAAAACACAGCACTGGGTCCAATTTCTCAGTCCTATAATTATGCAATCCTGCAGCAGAGAGGATTTAAAACCAAATTTAGCATATAAAACGGCTGCAAACAAACAAACAAAGTCTCAAAATCTCTTCTACTAATGGTTTATCTTTCTTAAGTACAGTTTATTCATAATTTTAAAAGAATAGTATTGCCCAAAATTGCGCTTACTTCAATCTAGAATAAAATGCCATCTGATAGACCAAGACACTAAAGGCATCTGTTTACACGGTCAAGCAGATCCAGAGGTCTGATTATTATAGCATTACAAGCTTCCCTGTAATCCACAGAATGAAAATTTTCATAATATCGGTTCACATTTGTTGCCTTTTCAACTCAAGGTTCCCATGAGATGCACCTCATCACCTCTTTTAAAACATACTACATCTAAACTTAGAGCGGACACGATAAAATACACTGTCTGTAGATTCAGAGATCAGTCTTTTTCGAGAAGCATTGCCAGAAATCATTTACTTCAGCTGTGCTTCACTTGACAGAGTGGCATGAATGGATTTCAAAAATACACTGTTAAAGCGAATATCTTCACTCAGATTCAAATAAACCATTTAAAAAAAGATTTAGATTTATTTGAGTGGCTGCATATTTTTTTTCTGGAATATACACGATAATAATATTAATTAAAAAAAAAAACAAAAAAAACATTCAGGCCTCATATATATCTATCTAAATGTGGCCATTCAGCACAAAGTTTTGAAGTTATATCCAGTCTACGTGGGATGTCCTGCACTGTTTAAATTGCATCAAATGCGAAACTAATTCGGACGGATTACAAAGAAACAAAGCTAATTCGGACTAATTTGTACGATCTCATTAGGTTTTCATACAATCTGCTAAAACCCCAGTGTCAAAATATCTCATGTTATGGTTAGGGATGGACCTTAATGCTTACTTTTTTCTATCATACAAATTCATATGAAATCACCTCGTAAAATATTTCTGTTTTCCTGTGAGATCACGTTGATAGACACCGTTATGATCAGTGATATTTATCCTCTATTGCGGAAGGATCATGGCAGTAAACTAGTTGCAACAATAAACAGATTCCCATGTTCTATTTCTGTCATACTCTACACGCTACTTCTGACAACAGGACGAATGGATTTGGAAAGTTCGCTTTGACACGCCCAGTGTAGAAGGCCTTTAGCTGTTGCAACACGGTCTGATGTGATGCGACAACGGTCCGTTGCAAATGCAGTGCAAGTTTATTAGTGATATTAAGCATACATAAATCTGTTCAAATGATAAGATAAATAGTGCTCAACAAAAGTGCATATATTTGATAACAATTACAGTAATTTATTACAGTTTAGTATAGGGACCAATTCTCACTATTAATTAGTTGTTTATTAGCATGCATATTATTAACATTGTCGGTTTCGTTAATATTTATAAGCACATATTCTGCATGACCATATTCTACCCAATACCTAAACTTAACAACTACCTTACTAACTATTATTAAACAGCAAATTAGGAGTTTATTGAGGCAAAAGTCATAGTTAAAGGGATAGTTCACCCAAAAAACACAAACAGAACACAAATGAAGATATTTTTGATTAAATCTGAGAGCTCTCTGGCCCTCCCATAGACAGCAAGGATCCTTACACGATCAAGGCACAGAAACGTAGCAAGGAGATCTGTAAAATAGTCCATGTAACATCAGTGGTTCAACTGTAATGTTATAAAGCTACGAGCTAAAAAATACTTTTTGTACGCAAAGAAAACAAAAATAACGACGTTATTCAACAATTCGTCTCCTCCCTTTTGGCAGTTTACTGCTTTTGGCAGTAGCGCCATTTTGGAGAGTATCCACTGAACGCAAACAGCGTATAGGTGTTCCGTGTCAGCTGCTCCATGCGGATATGTTTTCTACGTTTGATTTGAATGGAAACAACGCATCCACGTGACGCAGCTGACACGGAACACCTATACGCTGTTTGCGTTCAGTGGATACTCTCCAAAATGGCGCTACTGCCAAAAGCAGTAAACTGCCAAAAGGGAGGAGACGAATTGTTGAATAAAGTCTTTATTTTAGTTTTCTTTGCGCACAAAAAGTATTCTCGTAGCTTCGTAAAATTACGGTTGAACCCCTGATGTCACATGGACTATTTTAACGAAGTCCTTGCTACATTTCTATGCCTTGATCGTGTTACTTACATTGCTATCTATGGGATGGTCAGAGAGCTCTCAGATTTCATCAAAAATATCTTAAATTGTTTCTTACGGGTTTGGAATGACACGAGGGTGAGTAATTAATGACAGAATTTTCATTTTTGGGTGAACTAACCCTTTAATGGTTTGTTAATAGTGAGAATTGGACCTTAAAATAAAGTGTGACCAAAACAGTAATATTGTGGAGTTTCAATTTAAAACTGCTGTTTACTATGTGAATATATTGTAAAATGTAATTTATTCCTGTGATGCAAAGCTGAATTTTCTGCATCATTTCTCCAGTCCTCAGTGTCACATGATCCTTCAGAAATCATAATAATATGCTGATTTGCTGCTCAAGAAACTTCTATCATTATCTATGCTGAAAAAAGTTGTGCAGCTTCATATTTTTGTGGTAACCGTGAAACGTTTTCAGGTCTTTCTATCGAATAGAAAGTTCAAAATAACAGCATATATTTGAAATAGTAACAGTACTGTCACTTTTGATCAATTTAATGAATTCCTGCTGAATAAAAAAAATCTTACTAACACCAAACTTTTGAATGGTAATGCACTTATCATAAGTATACGTGAGTGCAGTTAAATTACTTTGGATTATGTGCAGCTTGGCAAACTAGTGTAAATGCTAAAGTGTCCTGATGCGAACAACAACAAGCTGAGTTATCATCATTCTGAACCCTGCCTTTGACCCCGGGTAGAGAAATGTTTCACTATTGCAATTTAAAAGCGGGGTTAGCACCACTTTTCCCTGCGGGTTATGAAAGCCTGTTCCTGTGTCAAAGTGTATAGTGTGAAACAATGAGGCATTGAATGTTATGGCTAGATTTTTAGCAACAGACATCCAGTAACGTGCCTCATATTCACCTGCTTTGGACAGTCACAAAAGGAAAAACTCGATAGTACAGTCTGCAATACATTATATGTCGACGTGCATTTATAAGCCTTTATGTAAATGGGTTACACACTGCATTCATCCAATCAATGACACTGACACTGCAAATATGCAAATAAGGATTTTAGGAATGCAAGTTTAGGATTGTAAGGTGTGAATACACAGGATTAGTTGTTAAGCACAGGCAACTTTATGAACAGTGTGAAAGTTAAGCAAGACAAACCAGAGTTTAGTATGATACAGAGTTACCGTAACTACTGCAAGTGTGAAAAGCCCTCCAGCGAACAAATTACACCAAAAAAAGATTTTCAAACTTAGAAATCTGATCAAAGCACAAACACATGCAGAAGTACATCTGAAGGCAGCGGTGTGAATGTGCACACAACTGTTTTCAGCCAAAAACGGGAAACTTTTTATGCGTTTTGACTGTTCGTTTACACTTTTGGGGACTGAAAACGCAGATTTAAAAAAAACGGGTTTCACAGTGCAAGTTTTTGAAAACGCCGCCGTTATCGTTTCCGTGTAAACACCCAAAACGGGAATCTTTGAAAACGGTGACGTCATGCGTGTGCGCAGTACGTGTTAGGCATGTAGACATGTTAGGCATGTAGACGTGCGCAGTACGTGTTAGGCATGTAGACGTGCGCTGTACGTGTTAGGCATGTAGACGTGCTCGGTACGTGTAAGGCATGTAGACGTGTTACGCATGTAGACGTGCTCAGTACGTGTTAGGCATGTAGACGTGCGCAGTACGCATTAGGCACGTAGACGTGTGCAGTACGTGTTAGGCACGTAGACGTGCGCAGTACGTGTTAGGCATGTAGACGTGCACAGTACGTGTTAGGCATGTAGACGTGTGCAGTACGTGTTAGGCATGTAGACGTGTGCAGTACGTGTTAGGCATGTAGACGTGCGCAGTACGTGTCGATTTTAAAGGTAAGCGCGAACAAACATACACAACAATGACGGAGTACATGATACTGTTGTTGCTGCTCAAGAGTTTGCTAACGCTTCTTCAGCAAAGTGTGGATTTACTTCACCAATATTATAGTCATCATATAATCGTCACTTCCCGACAGGTACTGTTTACTAACAAGGTGACAGTGCCAACTACTGGCCTGGCATACGTAATACAGCGTTTTTGGCCGTTTTCGAGGATATGTGTAAACACAAATTGTTTTGAAAACTGTCGTGTATATGTGAAACTTTTTTAAAGCGCAAGGGAAAACTTTTCAGTTTTTGACTACACCGTTGTCGTGTAAACGTAGCCTTAGTCTCACCTGACGTGTTTGCCATGAACGAGTGAGAGCAGGCAGAGGTTCACCATATTCCACGAGGTGCTGTTGTCATAGCGCATCAGGTTCAGTGCCATGGCAACATGCGAGTGACAGTTGTCACAGCAAAGGTTGTGCTGGAGGGAAAATGGAGATAATTTGTCAGAAGATATAAGGCAGTTTATCCGTATGGATGCTAAAATAAATAAATAAATATATATATATATATATATTTCATTCTGGGAAATTAACAATAGTACAAAGAGAATTGTTTTTATAAATGCACATGGATTAAAACGCTTTTCATGTTTTTTCCACAAGCAAAACAGGGAAGAAACACAGATTACCATTCTCTGTTTGTACTCTTCTGATGCATTGTGAACTGCTGTGTCCCACGCGTTAGATCCACTGGCATACACTTTACTGGCGTCCAACATCCAGTACCTGGGGACAGAGCAGATAAATGCTGCAGCAAACACACATGCATCATGAAAAGCTGAACCCCAAAATGCAGTCATTTCAAGTCATTTCTTTTATAACCACTGTTGGTGGACATTAAGCCTAAAAAGTCTGCTGTATCATCTGATACACAAACTTCTATGAGCTCTAAATGACCAACATGATCAAGACTTGATCTGATAAACCGTTTTTTCACAATCTACTACTTGCCTTCAATCGTCTGATTGATAGTTTATACTTTTTAGCAAATAAAAGGCATTTTAGTATGATAGTACTTCATGGTTCATGTATTTTTGCTGTGAAATCTTTACTTTTATAAAGTAAACGTAAGAATAACTTTTATATTGTAAGTAATATTTCAAGATGAACATTTACTGGAATGAAGCACCTTTTTTTTTATTTTAACTTCCAGACTTTTTTTTTTTAACAAGATAATCATGTTAAAATATGAGTATTAAATATGATACAGGCTTCTATTTGAAATATGATCGTGCCCAGAGGAACATTTATTTAAATATCTCTTTCAATCATCACTGTATTGTATTGCATCGCATGTTTTGCTCCCAAAATAAAAACTACAGAGCTTTAATCATAAAACTAAGCACTTAAATATAATCTTATTAAGACATATTACTGGGAGATAAAGAGTGACGACTGATATTTATTATATGCAAGTATACTTTTATACTGTTATAAAGATCTCACTGATCTGAAGCTATCTGAATGTAATCCTTTGTGGCCATATAAATATCAGCAACTGCATATTTTTGCTCATTTTGGGCCTCTGAATAAAATGGAGCTATTTTTCCCCTCTCGAGTGTGAGCTCCATATTCTCACTATATCATATTATATGAGCCATAAAAGCCGGATATATCAAATATAATACAAAACATAAAATACATATGCAAACTTTTTTTATATTTTGTATTTATTAAGTCTAATAATTTGATTCTTTCTGATTATTATTTCACAAGTCGAGCTTTAAACATCTGTAATTATTTGACGATTGCATACTTCCTTGTATACCAGCTAAAGAGACAGCAGTAAGTCATTTATGCAAGCTCTGTTTTGATATTGCTGTTCAACGCAACATCACAGCATTGACTCACTTTGTCGGTCTTCCGAATGCCATGTTATCCTCCTGCAAGAGCAGAGAAACAGACAGTCAACTCTGTATGTGTTCAATGTAACAATTAACAACAGCAAAGCCCAAAGCATAGGCAATTCATTCATAACATTTCCCTCTTTCCTGAAAGACACCATTATGAATTCACACGTCTCTCTGTGAAAGCCAGTAATCCTGGGAGGTCTATATGAGCTGCAGCCCTCCGTTAGCTGTCACTCATCTCAAGTGTGTGCATTGACCTCAGCCCTCTTTGCTCACGGTGGCTCAGTTCTGCTGCCAGGTCATGGGACTAATGACTGTAGCGCTGCAGCTGACTTCATGATGACGGCACCACAGGAACACACACAAGCGCCTCTGATTCAGTCCTTTGAACAGCACTACAAAATCAAACAATCTACTATAGTACATAATGATACACGAATACTGCTTGCAAAATATTCATAGGACATATTTTACATGTAGATACCCACATTTTTTCCAGTTTGATTTTAATACAATATTTTGCACTGACAGGGTTTTTTCCCCACTTGTTTACTCTTTAAAATTAGCTAAAAACGAGATCAATAAATTCTTAATGCCATGGGCAGTAAGATAAAATACAATTTAAGATGCATTATAGGAAAATAATATCTTATGTAGTGTTGCTTCTCAAGAATATGTATATTCTATTAAAGGGATACTCCACCCCAAAATGAAAATGTTGCCATTAATCACTTACCCCCGTGTCATTCTAAACCCGTAAAAGCTTTGTTCGTCTTCGGAACACAATTTAAGATATTTTGGATGAAAATAAAAACCGGGAGGCTTGTGACTGTCCCATTGATTGCCAAGTAAATAACACTGTCAAGGTCCAGAAAAGTATGAAAGACATTGTCAGAATAGTCCATCTGCCATCAGTGGTTCAACCGTAACGTTATGAAGCGACGAGAATACTTTTTGTACGCGAAGAAAACTAAAATAACGACTTTATTCAACAATTAGTCTCTTCTGTGTCTCTCCGTATCACCGTAACGCCATTTTGGAGAATATCCGCTGAACGCAAGCAGCGTACGCTAGTGATCTGCACTCCCGCGGGAGGACCGCGGGACTCAACGCAACAGGGTGCGGCGCGGGACAACTCTTGATGGGTGAGTGCGGGCGGGAAGAGACTCGTGTGTGTGCTGGATGCGGGAGAATAAAATGATTCTCGGGACTCCCGCAAAATAGAAATTATCTAAACAAAGTGTCTAAAACATATAAATTGTTATTTATCTGTTGCACAAAAGCAAAAAGAACAACTAATATTAACATTAAAATGATTGACATGCACAAGCTAGGCATGGTTTCTATTTATAACACGTGTTTAAAGGGTAGCGCAATGTAGCTAATCACAGACTCAGCTGTTGATTTCTGGAAAGCAATGGCCAATCAGAGGTGATTAAGTTAGAATCACCTCACCGCAGTGCTGAAATTGCGTGCTCACGAATCCTCTCATTTTAACACACGAAGTGTAGACACTGTGAAAGGGTCATTGTGCATATATTTAATGTGATATAACAGAGCTTGATGAGATTGCGATTAACTGAGATGTCAGATTTTAGTGATAATAAAGGAAGCGCGGTGCTCGCATTCTGCCATGCCAAACCATGCACGCAGCAGCCCATGCTTGCTTTTCTGTTAAAAATAACAGTGGTTTGTGAATGTTGATGCTTAGCCTAAATAACAAATATTTTATCGGGAGTGTTTATGCTGGGATGCTGTGGAGTTTAGGAGATATTACAGAACCATTTTATGTAAATTTCTTCGATGTACTGAATTTTTTTTTATATAGATTACTTTTATGCGGGCAGGAGTGGGACAAAACATGAATGTCGCGGGCGGGAGCGGGACCAGATAAGATATTTCTGCGGGAGCGGGCGGGCGCGGGACAGAATCTTGCGGGAGCAGGACTGAAAAATCCATCCCGCGCAGGTCTCTAGCATACGCTCTTCTTTGTCAGCCGCGACACAAGGATACGTTTTTGTCTACGTGTATTTACGCTTTGATTTGAACGAAAACAGCGCATCCGTGCAGCGCGGCTGACACTGAAGAGCGTACGCTGCTTGCGTCCAGCGTATATTCTCCAAAATGGCGTTACGGTGATGCGGAGAGACACAGAAGAGACGAATTGTTGAATAAAGTCATTATTTTTGTTTTCTTCGCATTCAAAAAGTATTCTCGTCACTTCATAACGTTACGGTTGAACCACTGATGGTAAATGGACTATTCTGACGATGCTTTTCATACTTTTCTGGACCTTGACAGTGTTATTTACTTGGCAGTCAATGGGACAGTCACAAGCCTCCTGGTTTTCACCCAAAATATCTTAAATTGTGTTCCGAAGATGAACGAAGCTTTTACATGTTTGGAAGGACATGGGGGTAAGTGATTAATGACACAATTTTCATTTTGGGGTGGAGTAACCCTTTATGTATATTGCTGGAAAACAAACCATTTAAAGGGATAGTTCACCCAATAATGAAAATTCTGTCACTCATCATGTCGGTCCATACCTGTGTGAGTTTCTTTCTTCTGCAGAACTCAAGAATGTTGGGAACCAAACAGCTTACTTAAAATCTATTTTCTAAATATTATAGATCTTATTGTGAATGATTGATCCATGTATATGCTTCTTTTTCAATTTTTAATAATGCTCTCTTTGATATTTTGAAGAATGCTGGTAACCAAACAATTTTGGGGGAAAAAAACACTACTTTTAGGTTTCACTGAAGACTAAGGATTTGGAACGACATAGAATTGAGTAAATTATGACTTGATCTGAATTTTTGGGTGAACTATAATAATATGATTTTTTAAACATGGATCAGTAAGAAATCACCCTTGCAACCACAAAGTAATGTGGTCAAAACACATAACTAACATATTTTGAAAAACACATAACATTTTTTTTGGCATGTGCAAGTGTCATAACGTTCTGAAATGTAATAATAAAGCATTTTTATCATCAAGCAATTTCCAAAACCCTTAAACTGTGAACTGACCTCAACCCACATCGCTCTGCTCATTCCACATGCGAGACGTGCTTCAGTCCCTGTCAGCCACAAGCGGAGTTAAGTGCAGCAGTTGAGTGTGTGCTGGCCCGTATCACCGCAGGTCAAATAACCCCATCCTCTCACGTTACCGGCCCTGCTCTACCCAACACATTTCACTTTTGCTCCTGTCTGACAGAGATGTGCTTAAAGGATAATGCCCGAACCTGAAGAGAACTGCTGTGGAGCTTTGGTACCACAATAACTTTGCTTTTATTTGAACAGCTTGTCTGAATCTGTACAGGATTCTTATGAACAAGCGGTTGGATCTCCTCCGTTTAATACCAGATGGAGTTGCCCTGACTGTGAACTCTAGGATAAGACCATGCATTTTTAACAAGAAGATCTCTGAGAAAACTGCAATTAGTGGTGCAGAGAGCTGACGGAGCTGGAGGTGTAGCTTTCACCGCATGTCCTCCTCTGCTCTGCACCTTTTTGCACAGGTATAGATTTTTCTTCTGGAAATAGCAGGATGTGCTCTTACAGGGTCACTGAAGAAGCTGGTGGCGAACGCTGAACTTTCCAGCGATTTCTAGTGAAAATGGTCCATGGAATTTCACACCAAATTATAGAGACCTTTATCTAAAGGAACGTTCTTAACCCGAAACCAGATACACTTTATGAGGCCTTTATATGTCAACAAAAAGTTGCTTGGCATTGTTGAGGTCAGACAGGAGGAAAGTCCAGCCCAGTCTACACGGGTCATTCATAACACAGCTCAGGCATCTCACAGTAACAAGCCTCCGTGGGCTTCTAACAAGCTCATTGTTGCCAGACTGAAAGAGATCCAAACCATCCGATGATAGATTTAAACCTGCACCGTTTGGAAATCTTCCCAATGTTACTTAATTGATCTGGCATTCATTACTAAGAAAAGGTGCTGCAAAGGATGTACAGTGATGTTTAATACAGGTGCTTCTTACATTTACAAGCAGACCTTTTGAGTGATCTCAATGGCACACTTGGAAATAAGACAAATTAAATTAAATTGTACAATTGTCATGACAACCTTGTATGTGTGAGAATCAATCAATCAATCAGTTTTGAGGATGTGATGCATACAGTATGTTGTTGCTTCTTAAGCTTGTGGATCTTGTATAAATAGTTTTGTTATCTCAGTGCCACAAGTTCTGAAATATACAAACAAAGTTTGTGCTTCAATGAGAAACGATCTTTGAATATCAATGCCAGCGTGAACTGCTGTTTACAATGCATTTTACTACTGCAAAACTCACATACTTCTGATTGACAGGACATTTACTGGATAAAAGTGGGAGCTCACAGAATGAAGCTAGATTGTATTGGAGTTGCTAAAACTGTGAATAAATAGTTACAGTATTTGGCAGTTAGTTAAAAATCATAAAATAACCAAGGAAGCCTAAGTGATGCCAGTGAAAAGTGAAAGTCATTTCAGAGGAGTTACTGCATTATTATTAGGTTTTTAAACCATTTTTTGTAATAAAGTACTTAAGTATCTGTTTTTGCAAATGAACTACATACATATATATAAACATATATATATATACATATATATATATATATATATATATATATATATACACACACATACATACATACATACACACACGTATACACACACACACACACACATATATATATATATACACACACACACACACACGTATACACACACACACATAT